TTTATGGATATTCTCTGAGAATGTTTCCATAACACCATTCAAAAATCCTCCTTTGGTAACTAATAAGTGAATTGCTTCAAATATGTGCCTGTCTTTGGGATTTGGGAGTTCCATATAACCTCTTGTACTGTTCCTGAAATCTACACTTAGGAGATTCCTGCACTTAGGAAGAAAAACCCCATGTCCTTAGGTATAAATGGGAGTGTTAGTGCCCCTTACAATGCCTCCATGAGGATTGGAGCCCAGTGATGTTACTGAGATTTCAGGTGAGAGGAGAAGATCCTTTCCTAATTCTACCTGGCTAGTGTCCTCCCAGGGCTGGGTGGATCCTAAAAAATCTGTGGAGAAGCCTTTCTTCCCGGGCTGTTGCTAAGAAGGAAACAGCCAGGAGCAGCTGGCCAAAGGAAACTTCTTCCTCATAAAACAACCAACCATTTGCAGCAATTTTATTTGCAAAGATTTCCTGCTGCGACTAAATGGTGAGGCTGCTTGGTTTGTTATTTAAAAGAGTGACCCTAGTGAGTCCAGAGCTCTGAAGGAGGAAGAGTCTGATTTCAGACCAGCATTAGTAGGAGGAGCTGGCACAGAGAGTGCCTAATTGAATTCCAGGGATGTCTTTGAGAATGCAGCAGCGCCTGGTGATAACACCTCAGGCTTGGGGATGCCTCTTTATAATCCCCATGAGTCAACCCAAAGCCTTTCTGGGCCTCATAGAATACTAGTGTGATAAAATATCCCCAAGAGAGGCTAGGGATTGGAGTCACGAACCAGAAGAAGCTATGTTTGGGAGGAGGGGAAGGAAAAGACTAAATAGAGACAGGTGAGGGATAAGTTGTCCAGCAGGCAGGTGGACAAAGAACCCAAGAAGAGGCAGGAAACCAAGCAGGAGAGAAGATTCATGGAGGAAATTTCCTAGTGGAGAAGAAGGGAGGAAATCCAGGCATTTCCTAAGCAATACACTTGCAAGGTCAAGTACAGAGGGACTCTGGCGCCTCTGGCTCTCTCTCTCTCCTTTATACAGGTGCCTGATGTGCTGATGAATTATCTGCCCTGTAGCATGGTTTTTTATTTTGTTTGGTTGGTTGTTTGTTTGGTTTTTTCCTCTTGGGGTGGATACATTTGAGAAAATGGAATTGGACGGATGTAGTCATCTTGAGATAACTACTAAGTAAAAGGTATAGGAGGTCCAGGAGAGCTACCTTCCTGATAGACCACATGGGAGCCTCTAGGGCCTCAGAGAGATGGTAGCAAAGGTTAAACCCACTGTGGCTTCAGAGATATGTGGTTGGAGACCAGGCTTCAGAGAGAACATTAAGCCCAAATGTAAAATAAGCCAGGTAGGAAATCAATGTACCTGCAGATTGCAGCTCACTTGCAGGAAATTTTAAGATAAAAGCAGCAATCCTGGAACATTCCTTCATGATTAGCTTTTTTAAATTTTTTTGTACCAGGGATGGAACCAAAGGGGTGCTTAACCACTGAGCAGCATCCCCAGCCACATCCTCCCCCACACACACTTTTTTTAAAATTTTGGGACAGCATCTCCCTAAGTTGCTAGGGCTTCACTAATTTGTGGCTTTGAACTTGTGATCCTCCTGCCTCAGCCTCTCATGTTGCTTGGATTACAGGCTTGTGCCACCATGCCTGGTGGTTTTAATTAGTAAATATTTGGGAAGATAATCTGGGTCAAGTTTCAATTTAACACTAAAAATACTGGGAGAAAACCTGCACTTATAGAACTGAATCAGCAATGAGTTTTTAAAGGAAATCCTTTTTTTTTTTTTTTTTAGTGGTACTAGGTATTGAACCCAGGGGTGTTCAACTACTGAGCTATAGACACAGCCCTTTTCTTTTTATTGATTGATTGATTGAGACAGGGCCTCACTAAGTGGCTGATCCTGATCTCAAACTGGATCAGGTCCTCTCCGCTCTTGGGTAGCTGGGATTCTAACGTTGTGCAGGGTTTAAGGGGAATCTTAGCTCCCTTTGGCAGAGTAGGTGTGCACTGTCTCAGAGGCCATCATTCAATCACTTCCCTGGCACACAGTGTGCTGGGAATGAGGCAGAAATAAGACAGAAAGGCCACAGCTCTCATAGAACTTGCAGGGAAGAGAGACAAAGCATGTAATTATCATAGTTTGAAGAGTGTCTTTACTGGAAAAGTTCAAGATGCAATAAGAGCATTGTTATGGTTTGGATATGAGGTGTTTCCCCAAAGCTCCTGTTAATGCAGGGCTATTCAGATGTGCAATGATTCAATTATGAGAGCTGTAACCTAGTCAGCTTATTCTAGTTTGAATGGACTTTCTGGGTGATAGTTGTAGACAGGAGAGGCATTCCTGAAGGAGGTAAGTCATGGGGGTGTGCCGGGCAAGGGGAGAGCTTCTCTATGATGCCTTCCCTCCTCTCTGTCTTTCTCTCTTCTTCTTGACCTGGCCATGAGCCGAGTAGCTTTCCTCTGTTGGACTATTCTCCCATTATATTCTGCCTTAGCTTGGGCCCAAGGTAATAGAATTAGCAGGCTAAGGTCTGAGACCTCTGAATTGTTGAGCCCCAAATAAACTTTTCCTCCTCCAAGTTGTTCTCGTCAGGTATTTTGGTCACAGCGATGAAGAGCTGACTAAAGCAGGCACATAGCAGGGTGATGTTACTCCAAGGGACAAGAAGGACTTCCCAGTGGAAGCCTGAGGAATATAGCACAGGCAGGTAAAGGGTCATCTGCAAGTGTCTACTGGTGGGAAGGGGCATGCTGGGGAATATGTTCAAGACAGAGAGAGGAAAGAGCTGGAAGTCAAAGAGAACATAGTATCTTCAAAATATAAAGAAAGTTCAGTTTTGAAGGGAGGTGGGGTGATGTCTAAGGGCGAGAATGGCATGACACAATTTTGGAAAGGGAGGCAGGGGCCATGCTGCAGAAGGCTTTGTAGACCATACGAAGGAGACGGGGCTTTATTACAAAGCAATGAGAATAACTGAAAGGTATTAGGCAGGCAAGTGATGAAGTCACATTTTCATTTTATATCACTCTGGCTGCAATGCAGATTTAAAATAAGCAGAACTGGGCACAGGAAGATCATTTAAGAGGCCCTGCAGCAACACAGGGAAGAAAAAGATGGACTAGAATGTGGTAGGGAACATGAAAACAAGCAAAGCATTCCAGAGGTGTCTGGAGGCTAAAACCTATAACAAATGGCAGGACTGACTAGGAGATGTCAGGGATAGAAAATCAAAAAAGACATCTTGGAAAGTTTGATTTTAGGCAATTTGCTAATAGGGATGCATCGTTTATAGGCATTATGGATTTGGCTAGGAGAGGATGGGAAGGTACATTTGGGAGAAAAGGCAGGCAGTTTCATTTTGGCCTTAGCCTCCAAAGGAATGTTTTTGGTTCTAGTTAAAACTGTAAACCAGGGGCTTCATTAAGAGGGTCTGAATAGAGATGTCACCTTGGGGTGACATTAGTTGTATCCCTGGAAATGAATGAAAAAAGCGGAGGGTCTAGAAGACAACCCCAAGGAACACTCAAATTTGAAGAATGCCAAAAGAAAGAGAAGCACGTTAAGAAGCCTAGGTGGAATTACCAGGGAGGAAGAAGAGAATGGAGACAGTTGTACCAAACAAGGGCTAATATTTACAGATTACAGATTATGGAGAGAGCAGAAAGCTCAAGCTAGGAGGATAATAGGATTAGATCAGAGATAACAGCCACATTAAAGTTGCTTTTAGTTTCGATCTGAAATTAAGAGCTTCATCTAGAGTTCAACTCCTTTCTAGAAATTAAACAAGTATAAGAAGGTACCCATCCAAACCTCTACCAATTGCATTTCACCTTTCTCAGAATTAATTTCCCCTACATGTTCCCACTATTTCATTCCTTCAGCTGGATCTAAGTATGCATTATATTTTCTGTACACTTTTATGTATATCTGACATAGTACAAAAAATAAAATAAAAAGGATGTTCAAAACATTTGTTGGGGGAAAAAAAGTGCAGTATTGAACAGCAGGTATAACCATATTTCTACATATGTAAAATTACAGATTTATGCCCATATAGCTGTATATGCACAAAGATGGCTAGAAGGATACTCACTAATTATTTCAACAGTAATTGTCGTTGGTTAGTCAGATTTAAGGTCATTTTCATATTCTTTTCTGTGTTCTTCTTAAACTTTACAATATGGATACACAGCGATATTATACAAATAATGAACCACGAAAGCATAGCATAGGATCTTCTACCTCATGCAGTCAATCACTACCTCTAGGAGGCTGCACTAGAGTCATGGCTGGGCTATATGAGGTGAGTCAGGAGAGCAGCGCTCTATGGATATGTTGGTCTTGCTTAAACAAACCAGACTAAGAGAAACCATGCATGTTGCTTCCACAGCAGCCTTTTTACTCAAAAAGACTGTGGAGAAGCAAAGGAGATAAAACCAAGTCTATTTCTTTAAGAGAAGAGCACTCTTCAGATGCTAACAGATGCTTGTAACATATTCTCTTCCCAAGGCAGATCATTCCAAGGTAAGTAGCCTTGTACTCCCTTGGTTCTATGACTACTGTTCTCTCCTAGTGATCAAGGACTTGGGGATCAGAGAGGTCTGGGTTCAATTTCACACTGAACCACTCACTTGTAGCATGGCTGTGGACAATTCATGCCTATAAGCCCATTCTCTTACATTATAAAAAGAAAATGATGTTTAAAACTCAACTATATTTTGAGGATTGAATGAGGTCAAACATGCAAAACACCTAAGAGTAACATCTAGCACACAATAAGTAAATGCTCAGTAAGTGGTAGTCGTTTTATATTAGAACAAGGACATGGTGCAACAAGGTTTGGATCTGAAAAACTCTCTCCATTGTGACCAGTTGCCATCCAAAGGGCCACCTTCCACCAGCGGCCATCCTGAAAAGCTCTTCCCACAGGTTCTGAGCCTCCAACCCCAGTCTCTGAAGCTCTCCTTGGTCTCTACCCTCTACCCCTTGTTTCTCACTCACCTATTGAGCATATTCGACTGATAGATTCTCTTCTCGTGGGTGTTGTAGCAACTGCTCTTGGGCTCAGGGATGAAGCTGTGTTCAGACAGCATGTCAGAAGCAGCAGTGGTGATTATAGCAATTCCATCTCTCACTCTGGCAGGGAGACCATAGTCCCACTCATCATATGATACAGAGATGAGCCCAGTGGGAAACTCCGAGGGCACTGTGTCTGTATCCCCTGCCACCAGACTAGGCACAATCCACGTGTAGCCATAGCCAGTCAGCCCTACTGAGTTGGCCACTTCAAAGATGTAGGTGGCTTCCTCCTTGGTACAGTAAAGAAGAATGATGGGGCTTTGAAGTTTCTTGAGCTGATTCTGGATCTTAGAATCTCCATCATCCAGGGACATGTCCAGTAAGAGGACTTCCTCTAGCTCCCAGCCCACGAAGCTGTTCTCGATGGTGCTGCGGATCTTGTTTACAAAGTCCTGATAGCCAGGGAAGTAGGTGGTGACAATAGAAAAGATGTACCAGTCGTATTCTTCCATGATATTGAGCATTACCGAAGCTTGCTGTTCAATGGATGGGCCAAACTGGAAGAACATGGAGGATTCATCCTAGAACAGCAAAGGTACAAAAAAGAGAGAGGAAAAACATTTGAATCACAAAAATTTTTAATAAGTTTCTGTAAGTATTTCTCGGAATTTAGAGAAAATCTACAGATTTATACTCTTCTTATCTGAAATCCTTGGGGCCAGAGTCTAAGACAGTTCTTCAAAATAAAACATGTAAATATTTCTAGAGCAAAACAAGTAGAGTCCCAAAAAGTGAAGTTGAGGTTCTAAGTGGCTTCATTTCACTTCAGGTCAGACTTTGCTATCAGGTGAATTACAAACCACACACACACACACACACACATACACACACACACGCATTCCTTCTCTCTCTTTCCATTTTTCAAGGATTTCTGAATTTCTCAATCGCAGATGTGTATAATTCAGTAACATTATATACCCTAAAATGCTATCAATCTACCCTTAGACCTATCTACAGAGATAGCACAGGCTCATTGGCCCAGAAGGTATATGATGCTCAGGTATGGATACGAGGGAGAAGAATGTGTAAATAATGTAACGGCTAATGTGGTCTAACCTTTGCTCTGATAATACAATTTGCAAGTTAGAGTAAGGCTGAAATACGGCATCTAAGCTACGTGTTAAAACTACTGGTATTCAAGCTCATGTGTAAGCTGTATTCTAGAGTGACACGAGAAAATTATTCTTTCTTGTATCCACATAATGCGTCTTGGACTGACTACATACCACACAGACACCTTTCTGCCATTGCTGAGCATCTTCTATTTTCTCCTTCTTTTCAAGAGAGAGGCCATTTTACATTTCTCCCATTTTAAGCTGCATTTCACCTGCTGTTCTGAGATGTCAAGCCCTCTATTTTATCTCTACCTTATAGCGACAAGAATCTGACCGCAAAATGAGCATCCTCTCAGGCTTGTCCTGCACTCTCAGTCCATTTCCCCCTGATTTCCTCCTGGGTAATGGTATCTCTTTTCTTGGTCTGTGCCCTTGTCTTGTATCAGATGGTTCATCTCCATTTTATAACAATCCCGACTGACAAAATTGTGTCTCTCTCCAAGGGGCTATTCCTTTTTATCCCCCAACTAGTGTTTCAAAGTACAGTTACAAGAGACCAAGAAAATGGGCTTTTATACAAAATTATATAGTGATTCCTTAGTTTAGGAACATATTGCTGTACAGCTGAGAAATTGCTGAGTATTTCTTGGGCACCCACTATTGAAAAAAATACAGGTTGGGAAATATCCAGCTGGTGTCCAAAGACCCTGATTCGGCAATGAGAGCTGCCAGCCCCTTAGCTCTGCCAGAGCCATTTGCTTCTCGTGGCTTGAGCTTTATACATTTCCCACAGGCTACCCAGAATGGAAGAGCAGATGGATAGTCATCTGGGGGCAATTCTTCCAGCTAAGTTTAGAATGGTGCTTATACTGGCTTCCTCCCCTGGACTTACCCATACATTTGCAGAGAAACTTAAAGGACCGTGGAATTCAGAAGAGCAGAAGGGGTGGGGTGCCAAGAGTGCATAGGTAGAGCAAAGGGAATTAATTCATACTGGTATGATTATGTCACATATGCACCCATTCCAAACTCTTGGTCAGACACTGCTTCTAGACTTCTACAACACAAGATCTATCTGAAAACAAAGATGACCCCTCCTTAGGTTATAGACATAGTGCTGTTTCTGATATTGATTCCATATACTGAAATTCAACCCCTAGGGCAATGGTGTTAGGAGTGGGATCCTTTGGGAGGTGATTAGGTCAAGAAGGTTCAAGCTTCAAGAATGGGAGTAGCACCCTTACAGACAGACTGAGAGCTACCTTGACCTTCCCATCTCATGCGGACAGACAGAAGATGCCACTCATGAACCAGAGAGTAGAAGAGTGAGCCTCATTATACACCAAGTCTGCTGGTACCTTGATCTTCCCAGCTTCCAAGACTGAAAACTAAATTTCTGTTGTATATAAGCTACCTAGTTTATTGCACTTCATTACAGAAGCTGAAAGAACTTAGACACGTGGGAATCTAAAACAACAAAGCTTAATTATTCCAAGACTTGTCAGGGGCCCATAGAGAATCACAAAAACAGGAAAAAAAGTCTAGTGACAGAACAACACACCTAGAATAGCTATCGCTTTAAAGAAATAATTACTTTTTTTTCCTTGTTATGCTCCCAGATAAAAGGGAATTTGGGGGACTTCAAATGGGAACTACTATCCTGTGAATTTCTAAAAGCCCAGTGGTTATAGCAAAGTTGAAAAGCTTTCAAATATACCTTAAGATAGACAAGGCTTGGGTTGATAGAGATCCCGACTGCAAACAAAGTACATCTATAGATGAACCAAACTTATCATGAGGAAGCTCTTGAATGCCAAGTGTACAGTGACACCACACTTGGCTCAAATTCATAGCAAGAGTTAGCTATGAGAGAAACCCGTAGGGGTCCATAACAGATAACCTCGTGCTAATGAGATTGAATTTAAAGGAAATCAATCTATGAAATACCAACCTAACCCTCCCTACCCTTCTTGATCATTTTATACCCTCCCCTCCCAAGGTTATAAATGAACTTGTAAAGACAACGTCAGCTATTATGAGAAGAAAGTCAATGCGGGGGAGAGTAAGAGAAGAGAAAATTAACAGGGGGCCATCAAATCCCCACCATATCCTGATTTCACCTTCTAATTCTGTTGTCCTACACAACTTCATTTTGCTTTGGACTCTTCTGCCCCCATCTATGCTCAGTTCAGCCATTTTATCTTGCCAGTCCTTCATTAACTAATGATACCTTCTAAGACCATTTAATCTGGCACCAAAAGGAGTTTACTGAAGCCAAAGAGAAATCAAGAGACAGAGTTATGACTTGGGCAAATACTTCCCGGTATAATGAGTAGACCAGTGTTATTAATTTCATTGACACATCAATCTGGTGGATGGTGGTCAGGAATGGAACAGCTCTTTTTCAAAAAAGCTTTGGGATCACTGTAAGTTGCAAATGGTGACAGATTTTGCAAATTATGGCTGCAGCCACAAATCAAAGTGCAATCTTCATGTGTGCACAGAGTGGAAAGGACTGGTGGCCACACATCCATCTTTGCAGGCACCCAGCATGCACTGTGATCACCCACAAGTGATCAAGGATGAAGGACAGATATATAATTCTGTTTGCAGCTCACTATGCTTCCACACTTAAATTTTTATCTCCTAATGTCATTACAAAATGTTGACATGCAGGGGTTCTTTGTGTAGCCTCCTCTTAGTAGAGATTCCCAGTCATATTTATTGCATGAATGCACTTCTTCAACTTGCCTTGAAAGCATCCCTAAATAAAAGGCTACCATAAATGAGATGAGCAATTAGCACAGGAAAGGTAGAATTGTACATTAGACTCCATCAGTCTACAACCTTTATGTTGTACTTCCATTACTTTGATGTTCATGGTGTTTATTTGCTAATAAGAAACCAAAATAAAGTACTTTTTCATCCCATTATCTGCCTCAGAAAATAATTGCCTCAAGAATTAGCAGTACATGGAATTTTTCTTCTGCATCATCCAGATCCCCTACCGATCCACTTCTGAAATAAAGGATTAAGTACTGCAACTACTGATCATGCCCCTGGCAGTAGTCTTTAGCTCAGCCCCGCTTTGGGGATTGTCTCGCCTGAAGAGAGCCATTTACCCAAAGTCATGCTCCCTTCCTGGAGTAAACAGTGTTGAATGACTGGTTGTCAAGGGGTATAAAGACCTGGTCTTTTTGCCCTAACTCCGGATGACTCTGAAAGGTCAGTCTATCTTAAGAATTAAGATTAACAGGGATAGCTGGAGTTTCCATTAAAACTATATCATTCAGTACTTCTTCCTCCACCCAGTCCTGCCCCATCTTCCCATCCCTTCCCTTTCTTTTTTTTTTTTTTAATTTTTTTTCTTGGTTGTTCAAAACATTATAAAGCTCTTGACATATCATATTTCATACATTAGATTCAAGTTGGTTATGAACTCCCAATTTTACCCCAAATACAGATTGCAGAATCACATCGGTTACACATCCACATTTTTACATAATGCCCTATTAGTAACTGTTGTATTCTGCTACCTTTCCTATCCTCTACCATCCCCCCTCCCTCCCCTCCCATCTTCTCTCTCTACCCCATCCACTGTAATTCATATCTCTCCTTGTTTATTTTCCCATTCCCCTCACAACCTCTTATATGTAATTTTGTATAACAATGAGGGTCTCCCTCCATTACCATGCAATTTCCCTTTTCTCTCCCTTTCCATCCCACCTCATGTATCTGTTTAATGTTAATCTTTTCTTCCTGCTCTTCCTCCCTGCTCTGTTCTTAGTTGCTCTCATTATATCAAAGAAGACATTTGGTATTTGTTTTTTAGGGATTGGCTAGCTTCACTAAGCATAATCTGCTCTAGTGCCATCCATTTCCCTGCAAATTCTATGATTTTGTCATTTTTTAGTGCTGCGTAATACTCCATGGTGTATAAATGCCACATTTTTTTTATCCATTCATCTATTGAAGGGCACTTCCCTTCCCTTTCATGGTGTCGGTCTCAAGAACACTCCCTAATTAGCCCTCTGGATATTAACCTTAGTCTCAGAGTCTGCTGTTCAGGGTACCTGACTCTACTCATCTTCCCTTTCCAATATGTAAAAGAGGTGGCTTAAAAGAGAACATTAGATGTATTTTTCAAATACTAAAATAACTTAGACTGTAAAAAGATAAGTCTTTGCCCATTAGCTCCAGAGGAGAGAACTAGAACCAGGGAGTAAAAATATTAAAAGTGACACAGTATATGAAATGTGTATGCAACAATTGTGGATTTTTTTTTTTAAGGTAGGGTCTTCCTATGTTGCCCAATTGAATTGAATTTCTGGGCTTCAATGACTCTCTCACCTCAGCCTCCCAAGTAGCTGAGACTACAGGCATGTATCATTGTGCTTGGTTCACAATGATAGCTTTTTAAAATGGAATGGGCCTCAAATGGAAGCAAGATTATTATCTGACCTAAA